AATAAAATTTTCGTCAGAATTAGAAAAACAAATCTCTATTTTAAAACATGCAAACTGGATTAGGAAAACAACTAATGCTATAAGTAATGAAGAGTATAACTTAAAGAAAAAAATCGTAAATTCTCAAATTAAAAATGAAAAGCAGGCTCATTTCTGTAGCATAATAAATAATTCAGGAAATAAATCAAAAACAATTTGGCAACTAGTCAACACTAAATTAGGAAAAGATAAAAAAGATACAATCCCAGAAAAACTTAAACATGACGAAAAACTCTACGAAGGCAAAAAAGAGGTGAGTAATGGTTTTGCTATATTTCTTGTTGATTCGGTTTTATCGATATTGCCACCTGAAACTGATACTGTTTGTACACTAACAAAAAAAACACCGTGTGACTCATTTTATTTTAGGCCAATGTTAGATATTGAAATTGTGGATGTAATAAACAGTTTGAAAAATAAAAAGTCTACAGGTTTTGACGATATACCTGTATTTCTCTTGAAAGAATGTGCAGATCAGCTTGCCCCATTCTTTACCAAAATAATAAACAAATCAGTAACGTCTGGTAAATTTCCTGATATACTAAAAGTATCAAAGGTCGTACCTATCTATAAAAAAGGGCCAACTAACATTCTTTCAAATTATAGAGGTATATCCATCCTCAGTGTCGTTGCAAAAACTCTTGAAAAGGCTATTTTTAATTCCATTATCTCATATCTGGATAATAATAATATTATAACAAGCAAACAGCATGGATTTCGACGTGGATATTCATGCGAAACTGCCACAGTAGAATTTACCCAAATAATTCACGACAAAATTGATAAAAACTTGTACACTTACGGTGTATTTTTTGACTTATCGCGAGCTTTCGATTGTTTGGACCCAAACATCTTATGTCAAAAATTAAATGCAGTCGGTATAAGAGACCCTGTAAATTCATGGGTAAATTCATATATTTTAAGTCGTCCGTTTTTTGTTTCAGTTGATAATATCCAGTCTGATATATTTTATAATGACCTAGGAACCCCTCAAGGGGGAGTACTAGGTCCATTACTTTTTCTACTGTACGTTAACGATATGCCTGAATATTTTAAATACCAGGATGATATGTTTATTTATGCTGACGACACAACAGTAATAGTATCTGCCGATTCTTTAGGACAGGTAGTAGAAAAAGTTAAAAATATTATTATGGCATTTAAAGAATGGTGTGACTGTAATAGATTGGTTTTAAACTTGGAAAAAACAATTTGTGTTAATTTTTCCTACGGCGACAGAAAATTTGTCCAATCACCCTTTGATGTAAATATCAACAAAGTTAATGTATTAGTAAATTCAGCAAATAAAACTAAATTTCTTGGGACACTTGTCGATTGTAATCTAAACTTCAGAGAACAAATAGATAATATTTGCAAAAATCTTAATAAAAGCTATTTTATATTGTATTCACTTAAAAATGATATGCCAAAGGAATCTTTAATAACAATTTACTATGCCCATGTATATTCAACCCTTAACTACAACATTACTGTTTGGGGACAGGCGTCAGATATCTCTCGCGTATTTATTATTCAAAAACGAATATTACGGTTAATTTTTAGTTTGGGTTACAGGGATAGTTGTCGAGAAATATTTAAAAATAATAAAATTCTTACTGTTACAGCAATATACATCTATAAATTATTGTCTTTTACTTTTAATAAAATAAGAAATCTCATAATGAAAAAAGATATACACGGGTATAATACCAGAAATGCTGAAAATATATATTTAAAACAACATTACCATACCAGCTACAAAAAATCACCATACTACGCCGGTTCTTACCTCTTTAACAAACTGCCATCAAACATAAAAAATAATCAAACCCTACAAGGCTTCCAGAAAGATCTTAAGCAGCTATTAACAGTGAATGTTTTCTATTCATTAGATGAGTTCCTACAGTATACGGTTGCTTAGCTGATATATGAGATTTTTATAGATTTTTATATTGTACTGTGTTGCATTGTTACTTTGTTCATTTTATTTATTTATTTATGTATGACTTACCTTATTCATATTTTGTAGATATGGCTTCAAAGGTCAATAAATATTATTATTATTATTATTATTATCTAGCGATAGCGAATTTGATAATACTCCCCCAGATATCTTATGCAGTGCACAAAAGGCCACTGAAAATTTATTGCCAGAAAAATCTGCATATATTTATCAGCAAAAATACAATGCATTTATAGAATGGTGTAGGAAGAATAAGGTGACAAAATATTCGGAAAACGTTATTTTAGCATATTTCTCTGATGAATTGAAGAATTACAAAGCTTCTACCCTATGGTCGATTTATTCTATACTTAAAAGCACCTTAAAATATAAAAACAACGTTGATATTTCGAAATTCAACAAGTTAATAGCGTTTCTCAAACAAAAAAATAAAGGTTATAAACCAAAAAAGTCCAAAATTTTTGAACGAGAAGATCTAATTAATTTTCTGTTGAAAGCTCCAGATTCCAAGTTTTTAATGATCAAAGTAAGTAAATGCCTCAGTAAATGCTTGAATGCTCAGTATAAAATTAAAATATTCTGTAAAGTTTTGCAACGAGATGTGTGTTCGTATGGTGTGTTGCCTAACAAAATCAGTTGCTGTCCTAACAGGCCACCGGGGTTGTTAGGCAGCACATTATACCTAAAACTTTTATATTTTTTACAATAGCATTTATTTGGAGTTTTACATGCGCAACGTCAAGATATTTCCTAATATTTAATAAATTATTTGTAACATTACAATATGTTATTTTTTAGGTAGCTTTTATAATTGGAATTGCGGGAGCTTGTCGCCGGGAAGAATTATGTAAAATGACAATTAACGATGTGGAAGATAAACAAACAGTGTATATTGTCAAAGTATCAGAAACCAAAAATGGAATAGAACGCATTTTTACGATTTTAAATCCAAATAATTCTGCAGTTGATTATTTATCTTTCATAAAAAAAAATATATTTTTTTTTAAATTCGCAAATTGAAAATATTCTAAACAGCCTGTAGGGATAAATACTTTTGGTAAAATGCCAAGTGTTATAGAAACGTATCTAAACTTGCCCAATCCAACGGCTTTTACAGGACACTGCTTGAGGAGGTCTTCAGCCACTATGCTGGCAAATTCTGGAGGAGACCTTCTAACGGTAAAAAAACATGGAGGATGGAAATCATCTGCTGTTGCAGAAGGCTACGTAGACAGCACAATAACACAAAAAAACAAAATTTCTAATAAAATTTTGATGGATGACAGTATGCCATCCACTTCCAAACAAAGCTACAATTTTACCGTTGACAACTCTAATGAAGAATTAGTGGAACCACTCGACAGTGAAACTAGAGTTACACAAAATATTTCAACCTCTTTACTTGAAAAGGCCAAATCCATACCACTCGAAGCTCAAAATAGGGTTACAGAAGTAATATCACAACATTTTTCAAACTCTGTGCTGGAAAAGGCCAAAACCTTAAGTTTTGGTAATTGCAATAATTGCACATTCACTATTAATATTCATAAGAGTTAAAAACCTATTTTTTTAAATATTTCTTCATTTGTTAGTCATTTTGTTCTGTAAGAATTATACATTTGTAAAGTTCCAATAAATTTATTTTTGTTGCTGTGTACAATTTGTGGCACATTTTACTTTTTTTCACTAGTGCGTAAAGTAAAGTACTTTTTTTTACTAGTGAAAAAAGTAACTTTTATATTTCTAATATTAGTGGATTATGTGTACGGTAGTAGAAAAAATATTGCATGCCACTCGTGTGTAAAGTCCCTTTTTTGACTCATGTGATTGTCGCACTCGCCTACGGCTCGTGCGACAACATTCACATTCGTCAAAAAAGGGTAACTTTACACACTTGTTGCATAAATAACTATTTTATTTGTCACTTTGAATTACTGTAGCAACAAAGAAAAAATAAACCTATCAGTCAAAACACTACCTTGTTAAAACCAATTTTACCGTCCCATCTTTTTCTGGAAGATAATTTTTCATAGATTCTTCAGACAAAGTTTTACCAGAGTCTGTTTTGAAAGCGACTAGAACTGCAAACTTGGATCTACTACTATCAAAATCCACACACATAAGCGATTTTTCGTGAAATATAGGATAGGAATTTGCACTGTACAATGTATCGGAATAAACACCTTCGGAAAAATTCCATCAGAGTTATTTGAAGCCTCCAAATCCTGAATTATATAAGGGCCACAGTTTCCGACGTTTTGCCACCATAATACTTGCAGATTCCAGAAAAGGAATAACAAATATTAAACGCCTCGGAGGTTGGAAATCTTCTAGCGTCGCAGAAGGTTATGTAGAAAGCTTACCAAGTTTCCAAAAGGGCCTATCGAATAAAATATTAAACTTCAGTGACGCTGTCGCTGGCGCTTTAACTAGTCAGCAGCTGTCACCAGTAAAGCCTTCCAAAATGACATCTTCTAGCCAAGTTTCCTTCGCCACGGTTTCAACAATTAGTGCTGACAAAGCAGTGGAAAACCGAAATCTGACTTCATTGGAAAACATTTTAGCCTCTGCAATTAATTTGCAGAATGCTACAAATTGCACGTTCAATATTAATAATATTAAGAATAATTAATTTGGTGATATGTATTTAATAATAAATGTTTCTTTATGTTAAATTTTGGGTTTTTCCGCACACTAGTAGAAAAAATAATGTACTTAACACGAGGGTAAAGTGACTTTTCCGCACGCGATTGCAGATGACCGAACGACGCGTTAGCGGAGTATTACTTTCCGCACTTGTTAGGTAAACTACTATTTTTCTCTCTTAAGAAGTTTTACTTTTCTCAGATGTACGGTGCTGCACGCGATTTTTTCAACAAAACTTATCTCTTATAAAAAGAGTCTTAAGATTCTAACACTTTCTAGTTTTATTGAAAAAAAGTCTCTTATATTAAGCGAGATATGAATGAAAGAGATTTGAATTTATATATCCATTACGATTTGTTTTTAATATGAAATTTTAGGTATAATTAAAAAATGTATTTAGGATATTAATTTATTTAATGTTTAAACGGACGATTCACAGATGACAGTATTAGTGTTCTTTACTGAATCAACTGCCCACCATGAGTCAGCAGACGGTTCCGGTTCTCGTAAAGTGAGTACCATGTTATAATTGATATCGTCATTTGGAAAAGCAGTAGTCCATTTGGATAGATTTACAGCTGCACCAGTAGTCAGCCAGAACCATGCATTATTTGTTTTATATCCTGAAGTCCAGAATTGCATCTCGTCATCTAAAAACGAAATATTTAACTAACAATAACCCAGATAGCACACGACGTCTGAAAGACGTCTTTTTTGTGTCTTGATTTGGTCTCAATGTTATTAAGACGTCTTGTAAAAGCCATAATTCAGACGTATTAATGTGAAAGCGCAAAGACATTCTTAAGACGTCTTAAAGACGTCTTATCAAATCCATATATTAATGTGAAAGCTCAAAGACGTCTTTAAGACGTCTTACAAACGTCTTTCAGTCGGACGAAAACTTGCACGGTTTATATAATTCAAATTTAACAAGAATAATCATCAAATGAAGTGAAGTTTGACGTTTGACTTAACATTACATTCAAGTCGGACTTCCGATTCGGACACCGTCGTGGCAACATTGAAATGGCGGTCTCCGAATCGGGAGCCCAGAAGTCCCATAAAAATTACAAAATATACAGTATAAAAGTGACCATCCGACTTTAAAAAGTATACAAAATTAAACAAAAGATTCAGTGTAATATTTGGAGAAGAACATTGAAATCAAATATCAAGTGCAGTGGAAAAGTGAAAAGACTGAACCCATATAAAACGAAGAAAAGAAGAAGTACATTCATGCCAAAGCCAAAAATTTGTATGGCCCAAGCTCATTGGGGATTATTGATTATTTTATTGCGTACGCGATTATAGCCACCATTAGGCTATTTTGAGCATTTGTGTCTCTTTCTACTTAAATAATATGGGACAAAAACTAGAGAGGAGTAAAGGGGCTATAGGAGTTCTAGCGCATTCCTTATGTAAATTAACATGGGAAATCGCTAAGGTTCATTCTGGCAATTTTTACGGTGACGTCACGCGTACGAAAACGTCGAAACGTTTGGCGTTTTCGTCTGACGTTTCGGCGTTTTCGTTTGACGTTTCGACGTTTTCGTTTGACGTTTCGACGTTTTCTTGAAGTTTCGACGTTTTCGTTTGACGTTTCGACGTTTTCGTACGCGTGACGTCACCGTAAAAATTGCCAGAATGAACCTTAGCGATTTCCCATGTTAATTTACATAAGGAATGCGCTAGAACTCCTATAGCCCCTTTACTGAGAGGAAAGAATGAATATTTGTTTATATACATAGAACATTAATATCCTGTTTCTTCTAAGAATATTTAAATTAATTTAAAAGTAAACATCTTAATATAAGATTTAATTCAGACATTAGTCAATTATCATTTTTGTTTTTGTTTTTATGGAGATTTTGAGAACTATTAATATCCAAAACTCCCTATTAGATAGCCATTTTGAGTGAAGTCAAAGTAGGCGATTAAGCATAATAGCTCATATTGCATTAAATGATTATAAAAATTCTTTGATTTAAAATTCTAAGAAATTAATTTTTGTTTTGTTTTATAGATAACTATTCTTTCTGTTTTTACTAACTTTTGCAAAGTATAATTTTCTGTGACTAGATGCTCTTAACTAAATTTCATTTTAGGAGCTATACAAAGGCAACTACAAATCAAAGAGAAAAATCAATCCAGTTATGGCTTCAAAGAAATGCGCTACAAAGAAAATACCTCTTAGTGGCCTGTGATTAATAGATATTTTATCAATAAATATTTTAATTCTATTTTTTTTGCAATATTTATAATCTGCAAGGTTGTTCTACTTTTTAATAACCAAGATATCCGACGTCCTACGTTCATAAGACATCTTAAAGACGTCCTATTTATGGCTTCACAAGATCATTATAAACTATTAATAAGTCGTCTTAAAGACGTCTTATTTAAGGCTTCACAAGACCATTATAGGCTATTAATAAGTCGTCTTATTTATGGCTTATTTAAAGCTTCAAAAGACCATTATAAGCCATTAATAAGACGTCTTAAAGACATATTATTTATGGCTTATTTAAGGCTTTACAAGACCATTATAAGCTATTTATAAGTCGTCTTAAAGACGTCTTATTTATGGCTTATTTTAAGCTCTACAGACCAATTATAAGCCATTAATAAGACGTCTTAAAGACGTCCCCTTTTGTAACATTAGACGTCTTAAAGACGTCTTCCAGGAAATACCAGACACGTCTTAAAAACGACTCTAATGTCTTATGCGAGACGTCTTAAAGACGACTTTGTGCTATCTGGGATAGCGAGGTGATATTTGACACTTCGGCGCCCACATGTGCGTATCGAAATGCACTAAAAAGGAATGCTCGAAATTGACAGTCTGGCGTCCAAATTGTCATGCGCACCGACCGTTTTTTCAACCATGTCGACTTAGAAATTAGGAGTAGGGTTTATGGCTAACCCATAGAAAAATAAAAGGGGCTAACCAGTTTAATATCAAGGTCGGTGGGTCATTCACGTAGAATCTCTATGTGCTTTGTGGTTCAAACCGAGATATTTAACGTTTAACATTTTTTTTTTTGACCATAAGGGCTAATTCAAATGTTTTATTTAAAAAAAATATAAAAAAAATTCTCCCTACAAAGACCAAAAATAAGTATTTTTTTTTCTACATGGTGGTATCAGTATAACGATTTTTGATGCGTTGCTCCTTTTATTAATTCATTTATTTAATGATTATACTATATACTATGTAACATTTTAAAATTCCATTTAAAAATGCTATTTTAATTGTGTGACATCCTGTATAAAGTAGCATCAGATTGATTTACCATTTAATTATCGGCGCTAGCAATATGCTTAGAGAGGGAAATTTCCCTAGGTGGGGATCTGGCTGTCTCCCAATTTTAAAATCTTTTCATTAAAATTCATTTCTCATCTGATAACTTGAACTAAAAGTTGAGTGCTGATACTGTAGAAGCGAATGTAAGCAGTCTCTATCTTTCTCTCTTTCTCTCTCACGTTATAATTTTCTCCTTCATAACGAAAATTCACTGCTAGATACTGCTACTTGAACAGGAACAATGTTCAAATTCTTCAATTGGATGTTTTGGAGTTAGAGAGGCTACCGAGGCTATCGTTGATGGCGACATTCCTAACTACGAAGATTTACAGATATCTACATAGCGGTAAATAATTCACGAGGCTATTAAAGAACTATCGATTTTGGTATGATACGAGTTTTAACTTTATAGTGGTTTGTACCAGCATGATAAAAATTATTATCTAGAAAGTTTCAGTATTTTGTTAAATTTAATTCATGTCGTATAATTAAATAAACAAATTCATTTATATATTAAATCTTATTTTTTTAGGTTTACAACAATTCTCTTTTAATCAAATTAAATTTTATATAAGTTTTTAATAATTTCTTTTTGATAAAGCTAGAGTTTATAATTCTCACTAGCATTCTAAAAATAGAAAAGAGAATAATTGGCGCCCCACTCTCCCAGAAAATTATTATCCCAGAGGTGTATATTAGAAAAGCCGAATTCACGACTGACAAGACTATGGTCAATGTGCTCATTTCTTTTTTTAATTTTTAAAGGTAAGTAATGCTTGGTGTTAAATTTCTATGAGCTAGTCAAAATTTCTTATGTTTTGAAATTAACATTTATTGCAAGGTAACGCCGATCTATTACAACTATACGACTATTATAATTCATTTTATTTGTTATAATATCAGCCCTACAGTTAGGCAATTCTTTATTCTTTTCGCTATTTATTTTATACGATTAGAAGTAGGTATATCATCTTTAATAATAAAAAACGGTTGTTCATCTTAATATTTTTTGTATTAAAAAATTAACTAGTGAAGAACATTATTGTATTCTAATAATTTTTTTATCTTATCCTATGAAAGTATTGGTAAGTGAAAATTCAATTTATTTAACATACTAACCGTAAAATAATGTAATAAAATACTTTAATGTTTTTTATTTCTAGTTTGATTTGATTAGATAATTCACGACATAAATTTTCCTTGTTCAGATACTTAAACGTTGATCTTTCGATTTCAAGATTAGGCGATCGAGGTTCAATTTCTGATAAAAGGATTTTTTACTTTTGAACAAATTTTAAAATTTTTAAAAATTCTTCGCACAAGCTAAAATTATTATAAATTCTCTCTCGAGCCTTAAGATTAATAAACTTTTTTTAATTGCGTATATATTTCTTTACAAAACAATCTTTTCATCCGTAAAAATCAACCTTTCAATGTTATTCAACTCATTGACTTTTTATTAGAACACACCAAACCAAATTTCAGTCATAAAAATGTTAATAAACCTCAACAAAACATTCTTATAAACAAACCAACTCCAAAAAGCAAAAATTGTTCGCCAAACCTTTTTTTGATTCTTTTTTACTACGATAAAGTGGAAACGACGTAATTAGCGTTGCTTTATGGCTATGTACTATTTACTTCTTCTACCAGCAAAACTTATTAGCATTGTTTAAAGAGTAGAGATAGTTAGTCAGCGCCTGTATAAATTCTGTTTGACTACCTCTCGCACCCTCCAGGCATAAGGAGATGGTGCCCTACTGGTGGAGAGAAGCCGAAACTACTCTTTAAACAATGTTATTAGTATTAAAAGACAGATCGTAAGGAAAAATATGTTTACAAACAAAACTTACATTTCGGATATAGCAAATTGAACAACGCATTGTTTTCTTCTTCAGATTGAATAGTAAGTGCTCGTTGTCCTATGGTATTGCAGTAGAGTAAAGTCTCCATTAAATTTAACTAAAATACAAATCAATAATTCAAGCAAACAAAATAAACGCTAAATAGTAAACTTACGTCTGTTTGAGGTACTACCGTATACTCTTTTTGTCCAAGTTTGAAAGAAAACGATTCAGCCTTATTTAGTTTGACATCTACAAAACAATTATGTTATAGAAATTAAAATTGTATCATAATTTTAACAGTTTTTTAAGCAAAAAATTCTTATATTAATCAATAATTATTTTTGTTTTTCTTTAAACATTTAAACTTCTTAAGATTAGTCATCCGTACCCCTTAAAATAGAAAATTACTTACCATTGTGGATATTATTAGGTACTCTAGCCACACATACATAAGTACATGATAAAATTATGGTGAATGCTATATAGATATTAAACATGATTGGTTAATTGAAAATAACTATTATAATGCAAGTTGTAAATTTATACCAGTATTTATACTCATCTAGTATCTTATCACTATGCGTGAATAGGGACGAGATTTCTTATACAGAGATGCGCAAAAGTTCTGAATAAAATTATTATCTGTTCAACCAGTAATTGAAACGCCTGAATTGATTTTACATTGGACGTATTTGTTGCCAATAAAATGACATTTTTTCTTCAACCACTTAGCTGCAACCCTACCCATCTTTTGTTTTTCAAACGCAAAGGTATGTCGTGTGTAGGATCATTAAAAAGCTCGTGAAAAATGGAATCTTACCATACCCATTTTTTTCTTGTTTTACTTACCCTAATAGCACAGTATTGCTTACACCAGTGGTCGTCAACTTGTCGATCGCGAGCTACCGGTAGCTCGCGGAGACAATTCTGGTAACTCTCACAACGATTTTAATTTAAAAAATACAAACTGCAAAAATCAGAGAAGCTTCCGAAAATTCCACAAAAAATCTAATTGTCATAATACTAAACATAAACAGCGGCAACGTTGCGGTGAGTGATCTGCCGCTGACGCCATCAAGCTAGAATCGGCTAGAACCGACCAGCCGGACCAGCGCTTTAGTGTTCGAGAACGATCAGGATTGCTTTGAATGGGATAAATAAGCACGGCGCGGCGACGTTGCGCTTAGTTTAAAACTGAACGCGTAACTAACGTCCAGCGGTTGGGTTAGTAGAGAACAACAAAAAATAATATTATGGCAAGCAGTTGTAAGAAGGTAAAGACATACCACTTTCATTCGGAATGGGAAGAACAATACTTTTTTACAGAAGTTAAAGATAAAAATGTGTGTTTGTTATGTAATACTTCGGTCTCCGTTGCTAAAAAAGGAAATATTGAGAGACATCATAAAACTGTACTTTCTAATTTTGAAATATCATTCCCACTACATTCTGCCGCCAGAAAAGAGAAACTGAAATAGTTAATAAAGCAATTAATTGGACAACAATCAATATTTTTAAGAACAGTCGAAAAAATAAGGCTGCAACTGAAGCATCGTACCGGGTGTCCCAGATAATTGCACAAAAAAAGAAACCTTATGAAGACGGGGAAATGATAAAACAGGCGTTCTTAGAAGCTACTGATTCGTTATTTGCCTACTTTAGAAATAAAGACGAGATAGTTTCAGCTATAAAATCTATGCAACTTTCTGCTAATACAGTGATGAGACGTGTAGAAGTAATAAGCAATGATATTTTTTTACAGTTAAAAACTGACTAGATAACTGTGTTTATTTTTCACTTCAACTGGATGAATCAACAGATGTCGTTGACACTGCCCAGATGGTCGTGTTCGTCAGGATGGTTTTTGGTGATTTTACGATTGAATATCTTTTCAAGTTTATTCCACTGAAAGGACACACTACTGGACAGGAGTTGTTTTCTCATTTAAAAAATATTATTTCTTCCGAGAAAATTCCAATATCGATGGCGCTCCAGCTATGGTGGGTTGTGATAAAGATCTGGTGGCATTATGTCGTAAAGATGAAACTTTTCCGCAATTTCTCTGTTACCACTGCATTATCCATCAGCAAGCATTATGTGGAAAATTCCTGAAACTAAACAACGTTATGAAACTGGTGGTAAAAATTGTGAACAAGATTAGAGCTCAAGCGTTACAAAGAAGATTATTCAAAACCTTGGCCGATGAAGTTGACTGTCAATACGGGGACCTACTCCTTCACTCTGAAGTCCTATGGTTAAGTAGAGGACGGGTGCTGAAACATTTTAATGATGTCCTATCTGGCATAGTTCAATTTTTCAAACAACGCGATGAACCGACTCCGGAACTAGAAAATTCAATCTGACTTAGAGATTTTGGTTTTTTTGTGGACATTACAGAGAAATTAAACGAACCTAATTTGCAGCTTCAGGGGAGAGACAAAGAACTAGCGAAAATGATTTCTGATATAAAAGCATTTATCAAAAAGCTGGAGTTTTGGGAACAAAACCTAATTAACAGCGATGCCAAGCATTTTCCTATTCTTTCAGAAAAAATATCTCAAAATCCATTAGAACCCTATGACAGCAAATATAATGTAGAAATAGTTTCTACCCTGAAGAATAATTTCAAAAATCGTTTTAAGGATTTCAACGAAATGGCTTTAGTAGCGCAGTTTGTTGTTTCACCCTTTATGGAAATTGATATCCAACAATTTGCAACTTGTGTTATGCAGAACTTCGGCGAAGACATCGCTGCAACAGAAATGGAAGTAATTGAGTTTCAAAATGATTTAGCCTTAAAATCGTTAGTCTCAAGTACCAAATGTATCTGGCCTATTGTAAGTAAAGACAAATATTCAGTTCTATGCCGTGTTGCCTTGAAAGTGAAAGCATTATTCAGTTCAACCTATTTGTGTGAATCTTCTTTTTCCAATATGAAGTTTATTAAGAACAAATATCGCAATCGACTTACAGATGAACATTTGGATAATTGTATTCGAATGGCTGTATCAAATTATACTGCAAACATTAAAAAAATTATTGATGAGTCAAGTGTTAGCCTTCTCATTGAACGTGCTTTTCTATTTTTCAATGTTTATGTTCATGATAGTGCGTTACTTTTTTGTTGTTATTATTAACTATTTTTAAATCTTACGTGCCATGCCGTTGTGGCTGGATAAAAGTTTGTGTTTATTTTTCAAACACCTTCGTTTGGTAGGTAGGAATGTAGCTATGAACAAGTACGTACTAGTAATATTAGTTATTTTGTTATTAGTTTATTATTAGTACCTAGGTATTATGTATTACCAGTTAAATAGTAAAATAAATACATAAAATGATAAATTAACTGTGGATTATTTCATTTACGTTGCGTTACGTGGCTTCCGTGTGGGTAGCTCGCTGTTTATTCCAAAATTAACAAAGTAGCTCAACACATTGAGAGATTGGCGATCACTGGTTTACACGAACGTTTTAGAAACATGCACTTGGGGCATTAGAAACGTCCCTCAAACGTATTTGGGATATTTCTGGCAATTACCATGTCATCATTTGTAACGTATTAAGAAAACCCTTCAGGGAGTTCGTGAAAGGTTTTATTGGATGAACAGTTCCGATGATGGATATGACTAGTGTAAGAAATTGCTAAGAGGAATAGACCTCATCCTTTAATATCCTTTTCATGGTGCTTGTCGCTAATTCAGACTCTTCTTCTGATTATTCAGATTGTCCATGATTCGATACTTGCGAAGTTGGTGTGGAAACGGAATCATCAGAGTCTTAAGAAGGTTAAGAATTAGTGTTTTAGATAATTAGCTATTTAGAGCGTGGATAAGGTAGGTGGTTTTGGGGTAGAGATGATAACTTTCTTTTTCCTTCCAGGTAGCTTATGTTGTTTCCTAAATTGATATTTGTTTTTTATAAACTATAGGCATTAACGAGATCTAGTGAAGCAAGTTCCATTACAATTTTACAGAAGTAAAGGACGTCCTTCATGTAATGGCTTGTCACATATACACAAGTCATACACAAATCATCTTCGTGCGATATTGCGATGTCATTTCCACTCTTGTTGCATAAACTACTCTATTTTTTTTTACAAAGAAACATATTTCTTGTTTCGTTTTTTTTATGCAAAAGTTAGCAACAATCTAAAAATGACATTGAATAATTATATTATTATAGTTTTAAGTATGCGATAAGCGAGCACTTAACCATAAGAATAACTTAGTTGCTTATCTGTATTCGACAAAAGAGTTTTATAGATTGTAATCTATGAATGACACTTAAGTATAATTCGATTTTAAAAATATGCATTATTTAAGGAATGACGAAATACAATAAAAACAATAATCAGACTAATTATAAATAAATAAAAAAATCTTTTACACATGTACGAGTCCTGTGCATTGACGGCACAAAAGTGGCACCAGAATGACACGAAAATGACTTAAAAATGGCATAAAAATAGCACAAAAATTTCATAGCTCTGCGATTTTTGTCACGTTTAGCGCAATACAACGCATGCGCATTACGGAGGTTTAGCAATGAAGTGGAGAGAGGTAGAATGATAACTGTTAATGAAAAAGTCTAGACACTATGCACAATTTCGTTTTGCACATTTTGTAAACAAGATTCAGGGACGGTTTAACAACATTTTGTGCAACAATTATAAAATAGTGCATCGGAAAATAATTAACAAGTATAATTTATTACTAAATTGAAGTAAAAGCACAAAAAATCACAAATATACGCAAGATAACAAAGAATTCACCCCAAAAAAAGCTTACAACAGCCACAAAACAAACAAAAAACAGAGCTGAACATGAACATAATCGCTGAACAGAGCCAATCCTGAAATTTGTTTACAATGCTTTAGGGCAACCTCTCCTTGTCATTTACATGTATAAGAGAGGAAGGTTGAATCACGCATAATTTCTACACTCGTGATGGATGCGCAGACGGTACTTTATCGTTCTACCCTCTCTACTTCTTTGAGGTTTAGTAGAAAATTCATAGAAAATTACACTTATGCATTATTGGTTGCCTATATCACGAAGGTTATCGGAGATATTCTGTGAATTTACTAAGGCATTTGAATGTGTCAGTCATAGTTTACAGAATCGAAAACGAAACGTGAAATACTCTAATCTTTCAGAACGAAAACAAATGGTAGTTTTAGATATAAGTTGGAGAGTCTCTCTGGGTTCTATTATTTCATTTTATTCCTTTTTTACATAAATGTACCAACATTGCAAGTAGGTACTTGCACTCTATTTCCTGATGACACTATACGATTTTATGGTATAGCAATTACACCTGGGTTTTTTATAACAATATATCTTGTGACATTAAATCAAAACATTGTGTCTAAGTATGAAAAAAAAAAATATTAGATACCTATTACATGTTATTTAACGAAAATCAGCTTTGATTCCTAGATTAATATAAAGTGCAGATGCACGTGGTATAAAAAAATCGTTATCTTGTCTCATATAAAATCTAAATGAATAAGTTGGTTCAGATACTAGTACTACGAGGGTATGTCTAAAATTTCATGTCAGCCTAATTAATAATTAAGATTTTGAAGAATCGAAAGAAAATCTTATTTTTGTTACTCATTTCAATTTTCATGTAGGTACTTACTTAATTATACGAGTCAAAAATTTCTAGTCAAGAATATTATGTGTGATTTATTGGTTAAAGACCGAAATTATTATCATTTCATGTAGGTGCTTACTTAAGGATAGAGTTTCCCAAGGATTTGCGGTCGAATTCTGTACTACTGGACTGCCTAACCAGTAGTGCCTGAAGACAAATATTTGGTAAAATAATCTACTCGCCAAAATGACTTATCGATCTGTTGAATTTGTTGTTTGCTACTCACGAAGTTCTTAGTGTAGAATCATATCTCTATCTGGATACGGAAACGAAGGAAAATCAATATTTTAGTGCCAAAAAAATAATATAGTTATATTATTTATTTTATTTAAATAGTAATTACAAAAGCAATAAGTAATTATATAATTATTTATTTTTTAAATGTTTTAAAAACGAATTTTTTATTTGTATTTATTAATTCTATATACCTACATACTGATTGCTAGATCCATGTTTTCAAAAAAAGATAAATTTCATTTTTTAAAATACGGAGAAAATTTATAATCACCTATAATTAAATGACCGATTTTTGCTTTAGCTGAAAACGAAATATTTAGATTTATAAAAATGATGTATATAAATTAATACCATTAATAAAGGAATGGGCAGAGCTTGGGACTTTGGATTCGGCGATTCGGGTTTAATCCCATAGTATTTGATGGCATATATCGTTGACACCTGTGGAAATAAATATTCACCTCTTATATTGATTTTAAAAGAATTTTTAACTCCATAAGATAGAAAAACAAATTGCTCTCATTTTCATTGTTTTACAATATATTATACAAATTTAAAAAATACTGGGATTAAATTAAAACGTTTTCACTTTCCGTAAGTAGGTATTAAGTACCTAAGTCTAGACAATTTATTATTACAATACTTATTATAAGACTTAGAGGATCAAATAAGTAGTTATTTGATTTTAAAATTCATAATGTTCATAGATTAAAAGGTTTAAATCTTATTAAAGTATTAAGAAATAAAAATAATTTAATTTTGACTACCTGCATTCTAAGAAAAGTGAGTTTCATTCTCATTAGAGAAAAAAATTATGAACATCATGGAACAGAAGATTATATTTTTAATATTTTGATTTATTTCCATTACGTTGAAAGGTAGTAGGGGGAGTTGTATAAAAAAACGATTTGGTTCTTGAATATTTCTATTTCATATTGAGTGGTGGATAATAAACAATTTTCCCGTGTAGAGGTAGGTACACATTTTAATATCTGTAAAACTAGTTTACGTTATTGTATAAAAGCAGCACAATTCGCGGTTTATGAATATTATTGCTCGTTTCAATACGGAAAAACGATTAAATCTCATTCAAAGGAACGGTTTCCAAAGTAGGTGTGTTTTGAGCGCTCTTCGTTACAATAATGAAGTTAATGGGCACATCAAAATTTGGAAGCAATGCTTTAATAGAGAAGCACCCCATTTTCTAAGAAAATGGGTAAATACCTAATGAAGAGCGTGACAAAATTAAAAGAAAACCTACTGTTAGAAAAAGTAAGACTATAAAAAAAACCAAAACCATCAGAAACAACGGAGTACGGATCTAATATTGATGAGGTAGACATCATCTGTGATGAATGTATTAAAGAAGAAGTTAATAAATTAATTGACCGACTAAAGGTATTAACATGAATATTACGTTTTTACTTTTTAAATGATTTTATATTTAAATATTTTTAGGTGACGAGTAAGCAACAACAAAAAATATCAGAAGAAACTATAGGACAGTTCAGCAACCCAATATACTTGCAGGAAAGAAGATTTCGGCTAACGGCTTTTCATTTTGGGAAAGTTGCCAAAAGAAGGGCCCGTACTCCATGCGATTGTTTGGTAAAAAAAATTTTAACAGACAAACAAGGAATAACTACCCCAGCAATTGAGTACGGCATACAAAAGAAAGGTGTGGCTATAAACAAACAAGAAGAAACTGGCAAAACAGTTATACCATCAGCAGACGCCATTCTAATGCACAAGGATACTTTGTCTGCTTTAGGGTAATTTTGACCATTATTTTGTGGAATTTCCAGGCCCGCATAAATATTTATCCCATTAAAGCACATAAACACCAGGTATATAAAATTAATTTCTTAGGTAATTTTCTAGGTAGTTATTTCCTAGAAACATTTCTTCGCTCGTCAATAACGTTTAATCTATTTAATAAGGGCTGGAGGTAGGGGATAAGTGATTACAAACAAGCCTATACGGATATTTAATTTTCGACATTACACAGAATGTTCTTGAAGTGAGATTGTTGTACTCGTATTTTTTTTGTACTGTTTTTAATAAACTGTTGTTCTGTAATATTTTTAATTGTTAATAGAAAATTGTCTTATTTATGCCTAGTGACTATGCAAGTGTTTCAGTGAGTTTTATTGTACATTTTATTCACTTTTATTTTTGGATGACTTCCTGCACTTAAGCATATATAGGTAGGAGTATTTCTTATTTTTATCACCCCTTGGTCGTTAAAAAAAAAAATAACAGGTTAAATTAACAAATTTTGCTTTACAAATTCATAAATTTAGCTGATGAAATACCGATATGAGGGCAATACTATAATTTTAATTGTTAATATTCAAATCTTTGAAAGTCAAAAATATTATTATAATTGTGATTTTGAAGTTTCAGAAAAAAATACTTAAAAGGCCGACATTTTTCTGCTTTTGAATTTTCTTTTACTACTTAATACCTTACTTTCAATAAATAGGTATATGAGTACCTATTTTTTCCTTTAAAAAAGCCCTTATAATTATATATAACATTTTTTCAATTATTATTATTATTATTATCAAGTTTATGAGAAAGGGAGTAAATAGGGATGCTGAATGGGTAAAATAACGTCAAATGTTATATTATAAAATATTGTTTGGACAAGAAACATTATTAGAAATTTATTGCTGTACTTTTGATAATAAATAACTAGATAGTAAACTTTTCGTACGACTTGGCAACAGGGTAAAGCGTAAAAGTAGCATTTTAAATAATCCTATAGAGTGTGTGAACTAACAATGACAACTAACAGACATATTTTTAAGTTAAAGTCTTTACCGAAAGGAAAGATATTTAGAAAATTGTGTATTTATTACATTTATTTTATCACCCTGTCCCTGTAAAATAAAAACTGGACCGTTTACCTAATATATTGACACTTAGGTGTAGCGTACTACTAATTAGGCAACCAACTAAACGTTATTGTATTGTGTTTTGCCACATCTAGACGGTTAATCAAGTCAAAAATGTCAAAATCATATGATTTGTTAACCTAAAAACAAAACAAGAAAATTCTAAACAAATTTAGAAATAATTGCTTTATTATTAATCGTAATGTTTCTTTTTTAAGTGAACCAGATGAATCAAGAATAACAATGGATCAATCTTTAGAAATTAGAAAGTTGCTGCCGAGTCAAATTAGAGAATTAGCTTCTATTTTGGAAACTCATGAATTATGGAAACGTTTAATGACTATAATACCGAAAACTCTTGATAAATATGACTTCCAATGTGATATAACTGCTCATAATCATCCTAAATATAATTCTGAACATTTTAGGTAAGTTTAAAGTCTATAATTAATTAATTAATAACAATTTACAATTTTTCTTCATACTTGCTTTAGTATTATTTTTTCCTTACCAGCTCTCTTTAAGTATTCTATAATGCCTATAATTTAAACGAATACTTTATTTATTTATTTATTTATAATACATTATATTATCGAAAGAAGAGTATCCAACGACTTTAATGTGGTTGTTTTATATAGTAAAAAAATTACACTAAATCGTAAAATATTTTATAAAAGTATGACCTGTTTAGGCCTTAGGCAATCATCAGGGCTACAATAACAAGAAAATAATGGTGTTAACAAAGTAAGTGTAAAAGTTAGTGATATTACGTACTTAAAAAAAATTAATTAGTATTACAAGCTAAGTAAAACATATCAAAAATATATGAAAAAAGAATACAATATGTGTAAGAACGTTAAAAGAGATAATATAGATATCAAACATCATTAGAATCATTTGAAGAAGAAGTTGTACATCGAAACAATTGTGGTGCAATTTTTTTTTATTTAAATCCACAAATGTTTGATGATAGTATTTATTGATATACCTACATTCCCTCGTACATTCCTCTATAAGTTTTAAATCTATATGGGATTCATATAGTATATTATTATTTATTATTTCCTTTATTTAGCTAGTTTGCTTAGCAAATATTAGATATTAGATCTATTAGATATTAGATCACAATATACAAATTAAGTAAAAATATACATATACATATAAGTCAAAACATAGATAATTTAGATACAATTAAAACCAACTAAAATTCTATAGTTTCTGGAGAAATATTCATCAATTAAGAAATCTGTCACTTTGACTCTAAATGTAGTTACAGATGTTACTGATTTAATATTGATTTAATATTGATTTAGACCTTTAAAAAATAGTAAATTTTGTGTTGCACTCTTAACAACTGTTTCAATATAAAAGTTATTTCTGTTCCGCGTTGAATAATTGTGCACATTAGAGTGATAATTAAGCTTCTCTTTTAGGTACATTGGAAGTAACCCTTGTTTGATTTTATAAATAAAAATTAATGCATTCCGTAATAAGAGACTTTTGATTGGCATCCACCTCAAAGTTTCAAGCATTAGATTAATGAAAGTATATTTTAAACAGGATAATATTCGCATAGTCCTATTCTGCAGCTTCTGTAGTTGGTTCAACTCATTTTGATTTAGTAAAAAGAGTATTGTAGAGCAATAATTAAAGTGAGGTAGAATTAGAGTATTATATATAATACATTTAGTCTACTATGATAATCCAAGTGAACTTCTAAATAGGAAATTTAACTTAAATGCAATAGTTTTGATAACAGTGTTGGCTTGATCTATGAATCTCATCTGCTTGTCAATCATTACCCCTAAGTATTTGAATTTTTCTACTAACTGTATAGAATTTCCACCAATTGTCATGTTATATTGTTTATCAACAAACTGTGTATAGTTATAGTTGCTACTTATCAGCATACATTTTGTTTTATTTGTGTTAATTTTCAACAAATTATTGCAACACCATTTATAAACATGTTGCAGTGTTTCATTAACAACTCTTACCAAGTTATCTGAATTCTTACAAGAAAAATATATTAGGGCACCATCAGCAAACAGGTGAATGTCACATTGACCCTTGAAATCAACAATGTCATTGATATACACTAATAATAACAGGGGACCCAATATACTTCCCTGTGGAACACCTCTGATATAGTTAATTTCCTCTGACAAAATGTTATTTACTTTTAACTTTTGTTTCCTCTTACTTAGATAATCCACACACCACTCCAATGCTTGCTCTACTGTACCCATACTTTTCAATTTTTTTATCAAATGGTTTTGATCAACAGTCTCGAATGCCCTTTGAAGATCTATAAAAACTGCCAATGTTAGATAGTTTTTATCAAATTTATATTTCCAATCATATAAAATACATTGGTTAGCTGATTCACAGTTATGTTTGCTTCTGAAGCCCGATTGTATTCTAGTAATAAGTTTATTTTGTTCTAAAAAATTAACAGTTTGTTCATAAATGACCTTCTCAATGATTTTTTCGATACAACTTTGGAACAGGCACTACCATAACAATTTTTAGAGTATTAGGTATTTTTGAAATTTCTAATGACGAATTTCTCAAATTTAAAAGTGGTCTGAGAGGTTGGGAAAACAGTTTTTTAAAATATTAATGTTAATATCATCTGAGTTACTTTTATTTTTCATTGCAAAAAGAATGTCTCTTAAAGAATCCACCATACATAGTTGAAATTTTCCAAGAAAATGTCCATTGTGTCTGTCTAAAATTTGATAATCTGGTATTGTATGATCAATCGTACTATACTCTGTTTTTAAACTAGGAGGAGCGAATTGAAAAGACGCATTTACACAGGGAAAAGTAACTAGATTTGTTACTACGAGCGAGTTTCGAAATATAGTGGTGTTCAAAATTTATGAAATAATTATCTTTATCGGCCTTAGTCGGTGAACGGCCAATGAGCGGTTAAGAAACGAATAAATGTCATAGAAGTAATTTTTTAATTGGTCCCAGACAACGGTCGCAAATTTCACATTATTGTGTCTAAAACGAAATGTCACTGTCAAATTAAAGTCAATATGGTTGTTGATTGATGTCAGAAATACTTTTTTCTTGCTTTTGAAATCGACTTTTTGAGAATAACTATGATCTTTTTAAAATGGATATTAAATATTTAAGAAAATTATTAATGGAATATCCAGATGTAGCCAGGTTAGTATAAAATATAAAGATATGTTTACATTTTTAAGGATATATTTGTTATAGGTATAAAAAGTAAAAGTTAATCAGTGAATGACAAGTGGATCACACAGTAACTGGTATCTCTTCTATGAGTAATGTGGATATAATGGCTTATTTAGTGTTAACCCATGGTTAATGCGCTAGAGGGCAAATAAAGGCATTCAAAAGTTTACAGGCCTATGAGTCAGAATTTGTTTTGAAAACTGGAACCAACATTTTCATAACACTACATGTCAACATATATTTTTTAAAGTGAACTATTCATACATACCTATGTATTAATTTTAAGTATTTTTTAAATATTTTTTGTGAAAGTAATGTTAACTCCTTGTGCCAAATTAAGATTGTTCCTTAAGTAGTAGATGGTGTTTTAAATGTTGTTATAACAATTTTGTATATAGTTTTATTCTATTCTAATAAATAAAATTTGCTTGAATATTTAGTTACATTTTAATCATTTTGGTTAGAAATTCATCAATTTTTAGTTTTAAAAAATCAGTAATAAAATTATTTTTTTCTAAAATACTTCGGAATTCATCTCTTCATGGTAATCTTCCATCTTTTTACCTTCAAAAACCAATAATGCATTTTCTACAAAATAATAAGGTGTCTTCCCTTTCTTGTAAGGTTTTTCAGGAATTGCTACCTTTAATAGTACTCAGTGTAGAAGGATCCATAATTATAGATTTTCAATACAATTGCTTACTGAAGAACTATTATTTACGAAATAAAGTAAAAAACTAAGTAATGGATGAGATATCAAATTATAAAATGTCAGAACTGTTAACAATTAGGCATTCCAACGACCTGTCAAACAATAGGTGCCAGTGGGAAATTCTTGTATATTTAAGGGGGGTAGCGACATAGTCTTGCAACTTGAACGCTATTTTTATTCGAAGTAGTACTCGCCAAGCCTGCCAATTTATGAAGAAATGTATAGGTAGGTTTTTTAAATATTATTTTTATTGTGTTTGACATAAAATATTTAAATGTAATCCATTATTCATGATTTTACGTAAAGTAGATAGAATACACCATATGTCGCCACCCTTAGATATACCAAACCTGCCCACTGGTAATTCATTTGTTTGGAATGCCTAATATCAATTATTAGCTGATGTTCATGCTAAAAAGTAATGTGTGAAACTGACTGTAATCTGACCAATCAGAAGGCTACAGAATTGCCAACTTAAATTCAAATCGCTCCTCTTAGTTTAAAAACAGAGTATAGCAATTGATTGGATACTGTCTATGTAAAATTTATTAAGAGCATTTGGCATGTCAAAAATATTTTTTATAATAACATTATTTTCTAGTTCAAGTTCAATTAAGTTATTCGACTTATTATTTTTTGGAATCAGACATTTAAGATATTTCCACATTTCCTTTGAATTTCCCCTACTTTCGTAAATATTTTTCTCTATGTGTTTACTTTTTTCTGTTCTAATTGCGTTAACGGCCCTATTTCTATGCATTTTATATTCATTCTAATTCTTTTCTGTTTTTTCTTGTGAATAATTTTTATATGCAAGGTCTCTGTACCTTGTGGCAGCTTTTACATTTTCATTCCACCATTTTTTGTATTTAGGAAATATTTTTATTTGTTTTTTTGGCGCTGCAGAATCTAATAGGTTTAAAATATTTGTTACAAAATTATCATATTTTGCATTAATGTCATAAATATGATAGTTCCATGCTAATGTTGAAAGTTTGTTATTAATTAAATCAAAATTTAAGTCCTTATCTCTGCTTTCAATTTCAAAAACAGTTCGCCCATCACTATTTAATAGAACATTTGTTAACATTTATTCTCGAGTTAACATTGTTATTTTAATTTATGTAATATAGATTTATTATCATTTTCTTATTAATATACATTATTGTTCTAGATTGATTGAAAGTGAATCTGAAAAATCAAGAAGAACTTGTACAGAAATTCTTTTTGACGAATGGGGCACCTCAGGTAGAAACCGTCCGGCTTTGGGTCATCTATTGCATCTTTTAACGAAAGCAAATTTGTTTAGAGCTGCAGATTATGTAGCTGTAGATCTTTTGCACCAAGAGAAACCAAAAAGACCTGATATCGGCCCAGAAGCGGAAATTCCTGTTAATTTAAGTGACATTATTAAAACATCTGATGATGAATTTGAAAAGGTTTTAGATGATATTGATTATGTATCTGATGCTGTGAAATTAATTCGAACTTATTCAGACAAAACTGCAAAGGTACTCAACAAAATTCCACAAATTGTAATTACCCCAGATATAGATGAAAATATTAATATTCCGAAATTTAGTGTTCCTGTTGTTGTACAAAAGACGAAATCAACTGAAGAAGTTTCAGATATGATGAAATTTTCAACGACACAAATAAAAAGTTCAGAAATTCCAGTATGTGTAAATGAAATTTCTACTAATAATTTTAATTCACAAACTAATAATAATGTTGAGGACAATAATATTAATACACAGGATTTAAATATGCCCAATCTTTCATTAATTTTGGGAAAAGGGACTGTGGCTGTAACAGAAGAAACTGGTGAATGTATTTCAGAATCGACTGTGTTCAGTTCAAAATCAACTGTGTCCAATTCAGAATCAACTATGTCCAGTTCAGAGAGTAACTGTGACACATCACAAATTTCAGATAGTAACTGTGAAAGTTCGCAAATTTCAGAGAGTACAGTAAGTCAATATTAAGTATTTTAAAATATTTGTAGAAAAATCCTTTTATTATTCTTTATTTTTCACTTTTACAAAAAAAAAAATTCTACTGCACATTTCAAAATTTTAATCTCCAAGTTATATAGTAGTTATGCATTATAATAGACCGAGAGAGTGGTCATTATGAGTAATGTGTTAAACAAAAGCCTAAAAATTTGTAGATTTAAAATTGAATGCCAGTTGAAAATGGAAATAATGAAGGGTCAACCATGGTTTGAAATCGTATACAATTCCAACGAAAATTCTAACAATTTTAATAAAAAATTCCAATAATTACAATAATTCTTGTGAAAATTCCAACAATTCCAAAAAATCAAACAATTGCAATGAAAAATCAAACAATTCCAACAAAAATTCTAACAATTCTAATTAAAAATCCAGAATCCCAACGTTTCCAAAAATTATAATAATTCCAGTTAAAATCCTAACAATTCCAAAAAAAATACAACAATTTCCAACAATAATAATTTTAGTGAAAATTCTAACAATTCCAAAAAATTCAAACAATTCCGTTGATAATTCTAACAATTCAAATAAAAAATCCAGCAAATACAATAATAATTTCAACAATTCTCAACAATTAAATAATTCCAGTGAAAATTTCAACAATTCCAAACAATTACAATAAAAAATACAGAAAATATAATAATAATTCCAACAATTACATAAATTCTCGTGAAAATTTCAACAATTCTAAAAATTACAAGTTCCAATAAAAATACAGCAATTCCAATAACAATTATAATAATTCCAGTAAAAATTTCAACAAGCCTAACAAAAAAATCTAACAATTACAATAATTCCATTAAAAATTCCAACAAGTCAATAAAACTAAAACAATTTTCAATTTTTTTTAACAATTCCAATAAGAAATCCAGCAATTCCAATAACAATTTCAACATTTTCCAACAATTATAATAACTCCAGCGAAAATTCCAACAATTCCAAAAAAAAAAACAATTCCAATGCAAATTCTAACAATTCCAATAAAATTATCCAACAATAATGAATGAGAAATTTCCAAACAAGTTTGGATATCATTGCCGTATATGTATAATAAAAAGTAAAGGTTCCAAATGTGACCCTGGAGGGACACCAGATGTAGCCCGAGAGTAAAAAGCCAAAAACACGAACAATTTTAATGCAGTTCGTTATAAAGCATTTGATTCATTTTAGAAGATTACCACCAATGCCAATTTTAAGTTTTCCTATCAAGCAATTGTATTTAATCCTGTCGAACACCTTTGAAAAATCAGTGTATATAGTATAAACTTGGTAATTATAATCCAGGGCATTCGATAAGTAATCAACATATGACAACAAAAATTCTAACAATTCCAATAAAAAAATTCAGCAAATACAATAACAATTACAATAATTTCAGTGAAAATTTCAAGAATTCCAATAAATTTTAATGAAAATTCTAACAATTTCTACGAAAATTCTAACAATTCCAATAAAAAATCCAGCAATTCCCAACTATTACAATAATTCCAGTGAAAATTCCAACAATTTCAAAAATTCAAACAATTCCATTAAAAAATCCAACAAAGACAATAACAATCCTAATTCTTAACAATTACAGTAATTCTAGTTAAAATTCCAACAGTTCCAGTGAAAATTCAAAAAATTCAAAGGATAACAAACTTTTTTATCATTTCCAATAAAAAAAATCCAGCAAGTACAATAATAATTCCAACAATTACAATAATTTTAGTGAAACTTCCAACAATTCCAAACATTCTGACAATTCCAAAAAAATCCAGCAAATATAATAACAATTCCCAACAATCACAATAATTAAAGTGAAAATCACAGCAATTTAAAAAAAATTAAACATTTCCATTAAAAAATCCAGCAAATACAATAAAATTCCAATATTTACCAACAATTATAATAATTCCACTGAAAACTCCAACAATTCCAAAAAAAAATCAAACAATTCCATTTAAAAAATCCAGCAATACAATAACAATTTATTCTAAGTGAATGTTGTATGCAATATGCATGTTAAGTGTATATTAATAAAGGGCGACCTAAAATATCTGTTGTGTCCCTTTCTGTCGCTAAGGCAGCAAGAAAATAGTCTCATGTCTTCAAGTTAGGTAGATCGCCATCTTTTAATTGGTATGCTCCTAAGTATAGTGATCTTGGATTCTGGAGTGCCACACATTCAGTAATAACGAGAATGATCGTCCTCCTTACAGAATCTGCACTCATTATCTTTTACTATTCTCCTATGAGTCGGCAGTGCCCTATAAGTATCCCTGTTACATTGCGTAGCCAGTTCTTGCTCAAACAGATACAGACTTCCGATATTTTCTGGTTATATTCACCCAGAAATATCTTAGCCTGTATTAGACACAAGAGATTGTTTCAATTATCAGTTCTTCTACTAATTCGTTTTTAAAATTTCCCCTAATATTGCTGATACTGCAGAACGACTCAGGTCCCCACAAAGTGTGTTTGATTCCCTTTCCTTGCCAGACTAGAATTAAATTAATCTTGCAGAATTTCCTGAAGCTGTTACTTTTAGCTTTTCTGATTTGTATGCTGTAGGTAGTAAATGCCTTGGTGTAGTCCCACTGTGCTTGGTCCTGTTTTCGTTTCTACACTTCTGTACTTAAGTTTGACAGATGACTACTACTAGTTATATTTGGTTGAATGGGACAGCTTGATTTATATGCTTCAAGTATTGCCTCATTTAGTTCTTTGAGATTATCACTGATCGATGACTGATAAATAATTTCAAATAGGCTAAATTCATACCAAAATATTTTGATTTTAATAAAATTGTACAATTATTTTTCCTTTTATAGACAAATCCAATTTCTGCTGTGAGTGATAATAATCCAGCCTTTAGCCAAATTATGGAACAACCTGTTACAGTAAATACAAACGTACCAAACCTTTCAATTTTGAATTTAGAACCAAAAGTAGTTTTGACCCAATCTCAAATTAATTCAGAAGAACACATACCGAACCTTTCGATTTTGAACTTCGAACCAAAAATGCTTTCAGAAGAACAGAATTTATCAATTCAAGAAAGTTCGGTTATTTCCGAATCAAATATGATTCCAGATCTTGATGTACTACAACAACAAAGTGACGAAATCACAGAAGATTCCGGTAATTTACCCGATTTGAGCGCACTTCAAATTAGTAATTTAAACCTGAATTTAGGAAGTATAACATTCAGTAACGCGTCTCAGGCTTCCTCTGAGAACTCGAAAACTCGTTCCTGCTCGTCCCCTTTACCAAATCTCTCGTTAGATACCATGCTGCCTCATTTTAGCTACCAAATTTTGGAGCTGGCTACGAACAGTTTTAACACAGACTTGTATAGAAACGAGGATTTAAACGGAAGATTATTGGGTAAGGGAGAGTTCGGGTCGGTGTTTTTAGCTCCGAATCTTCTCGGCAAACCTGTAGCTGTCAAAAAGTTGGATATCGGAGATGTTGAAATTGTTAACGTCGACGATGAAGTGACCAAGCAATTTAGAAACGAAGTTGAAGTATTGAGCAAATACAAACATGAAAATTTGTTATCTCTTCTGGGTTATTCTTGTGATGGGTGCACCTATTGTTTGCTGTATGAGTATATGCCTGGTGGAGCGCTTCGTGATAGGCTGCAGGTAACATATAATTTGTTTATTTAGTTAAAATGACTTTTTATTTTTAATTTGTTTATGTAGTATCCCGGTTATTGACATTTTAAGTGTTTCTATTCTTTTTAAAATATGGCACCATAAACAGCATAGTATATAAAAAATCCACCAGATGTCGGTAGAAGGTGAAGTTCCTCAAATGAAAACAAATAATGACAACGAACTGTCAGAAAAATTCAGTTAATTCGGCACAAGCTAGCACGTTGAATTCGATACACCAAAAGACCGGTTTAATCCAAACAACTCGGTTTTATGACGACGTGATTGTTCAAAGAAACCCTATGGACCGTACGCAAACCGTATTATATTTCGAGAAGGTAGCGAGCGGTGGTCGTTTAACTTGTGTTACGAGGGGTTATGGAGAAGTTGTTGAAATTAATTTAAAATTAATTTTACGTACCATAACCTATGCCATTAAAATGTAGAAATCAAAAACTACTATTTCGACAACTCACACAATTGTATCTATAAAATGCCAACGAAAATCTAAACTAAGTGATTTTGACCCTCCGCCGTTTTACAATATTTAAAGGCAGCACTGTCACCAGCTAAAAGTTCCTGGAGTTCCGAAGGGTCATCCATTCACAAGTTTTCTTTTTTATGTTCTCTAAATTTTTCATTCTTTTTTTTGTATCCACTTACTTTATCTTTCTCTTTTTCCGTATCTCTATATGCGTCTTTCTTTCTTTTCAATATCCCTGTATGCTTTTTCTTCTCTTTTTTGTGTCTTATTTTATTTTTCTGCAAGTCTATATGTGTTTTTTTCTTTTTTGTCTCTTAACTTTTTTATCTCTTTCCTTTTCAGCATCTCTATATGCGTTTTTTTCTCTTTTTTCTATCTTACTTTCTTTTTCTGCAAGTTTATATGCTTGTCTTATTTTTTTTACTTTTAACTTCTTTATCTTTTTCGCCTCGCCTGTCTATATCTTTACTCGGCCTGGAAAACAGTCACTTTACTGCCTAGGTATACAATATAATATTACAGTATAAATAAAAAAAGAATTTCAAGGTTAGAATTTTAAAACTTTGGCCATTGTAGCTAAGTTTAGTTTAATAAAATTTGCAAAGCATTTTACATATATTTTTTTTAGGATGTAAATAATCAACTTTTATGGAAAGAAAGATTGAATGTAGCCATTGGTACTTCCAAGGCTATATCTTATTTGCATACTGCATTTTCTTCTCCTCTAATTCATAGGGATATCAATTCTGCCAATATTCTTCTAGACTCCAACAATCAGCCAAAGGTAAGTTTTAATAGACTATTAAAAAATCCTTTTGTTTCACTTTAAACAAATTTTAATCACCCGTCCTAGTGCTCTCAATTGTTCGACAAACTAATTGTACTAGAATACATTTATAGTACAAATAGATTGTTGTCTTTCTGCACGATGTCACAAGGATAATTTTAAGAAGAAATGAAAGAGCTGGAGTGGAATTAGAATTTGTGTGCGCCGACCAGAGTCGGAATTTACGAGTTCGGATTAAAACTATGTGTCTCGATAGCTCAACTGGTAAAAGCATGGATTATAGTTTAAAGGTTCTTTCTTTAATTCTCAGCTTTTTCTATTTTTCTTCGGTTTGTTTTTACTATGGGGATATGAGAGTGTATTTTTTTTATAATTTTGTAGGAATATTCATTTTCATATATCCAAAATTGCATTTCAGTTTTTTGGATCTCAACCGATTTTCTCACTTCACTTTCTTGCATTTAATTATTGAATTATGTAAATAATATTTTCGTGTGCTTCCACATTTCCAGCTAGGCGATTTTGGTTTAATAAAACTCATCCCTAATCAAAACATCAACACAGCCACAACCGTTTTTGGAACGTCAGCTTACATGCCCAGAGAAGCGTTTGGAGGGGATATATCTGTCAAACTGGATACGTTTAGTTTTGGGGTTGTCCTGTTGGAATTGTTGACGTCTTTACCACCCATTGACAATAACAGAGATGGTGCAGATTTGGTAAGTATCTAAATGTTAAATAAATATATTAAGGTTCGATTTTGTCATCTCTGAGTAAAGCTACATGTACGTTTACAGATTAACAAACAATAGCCGTATAGTTTAATCAGCAAGTAGTTACTTTCAACCTTACTCAGAGGTGAAAAAATCGACCCTAAAGATAAATCGGTTTTTTAATAGTTTATTTCGAAAATTTTGACAGAATTATTTTGGGATAGTAAAAATTTTACTTTTTGTTGCAATTATAGTCGGTTTCAAATCTTTGCGAATATTATTAATGTAAGGTTCAGTATCTGTCACTATATGTACCCATAAAATTGAAAATTATATACCTATAAATACGTATAACGTGCATGAAAGCTACTAAACTTTTAAACCTTTTTTTTGTCCAGATTTGCAGATTTAATTTGGGTTTTTAAAATTTTTAAAACTATTATTTCTATCAACAAGTGACGCCTTAGGTTCGGAAAAACTCGGGCGCCAGTTTTAATAACAACCTTTTGATTCGGTGTTAAAAATGCTCTGGTAGTTTCTAGTGAAGATGATGGAAATACTTTTTAATTGTTAATTTTGTAGGTGACTCACATAGGAGAAACTATCGAAAATGACGAAATAGCCTCGATAATTGATTATAAAGCGGGTTCTTGGATAGAAAACGCCGTTAATTATGCCGCAACATTGTATAAAATATCGCAAAGTTGTTTGGAAGAGAAGAAAAAGAGACCAACCATGTTGGAAGTCAAAATGGTTCTAGAACAAATGTTTGGAGAATTACAATGAAATGAAAATGTGAACAAAAAAGTAAGTATCCCATTTAAAATGAACTACAAGTTGATTAAATTGCTCACTAATTGTATAACCATAAGATGCGGTTTTTTTGTGGAAAGTGTCCTCTAGATGAAGACTGTAAATAAATTTTCATTTCATACTAGTTGTTGACATAAGTTTCTTAAAAATCGATTAAAAAGTCAGTAAAAAAATGTAAGCCAAATAGCTCGGGAGTAAATGAATGGGATTTGTCAGGATATTGGAATGAACCAACATGCCAATATGTAACTTTGTTCTAATTTTTCATAGATGACCCTTGTTTTGAGCGTATCATTAATTTGGCTATAAAGAGATAATAGTTCTTTGCCTAATTTATTTATTTATTCCAGAAACAAACAGGCATGAGCCTAATTACATGTTCCTATAAATACAGCGAAAATAGAAATCAACAAAAATACATAATATCTAATTAAATATATAAGTGAAATTATAATAAACAAACCTCGCTACTACAAAATTTTAACAAAGTTCATTAAAGAACAAAATTACTGAAATAATCAGAAATATTCAGGAATAATCAGAGCGTCTGCAAAAACCCACACCAAGGCCACGGAAATCCTACAAGGTTATGTCTCTTTAATCGAGCCCAACAATTTTGTTAAGTTCCTTCCTATATGTGCTTATAACTACATCAAAAATACCGCAAGAAATGCCTTCGGAGTGTACATTAAACAAAAGACAAATTTTTCTACTGGACCATGATTATCCGCACGAAAAGTTAATTGACGTGGACGAATACCTGCTATTGGAACATTAATTTTTATTTGACTCAATAAATATTGACTGTCCAAATATCCATTTAATATTTTATGTAAAAAGACAAGGTTGATTATAGAGCGTCTATGTTCCAATTTTTCAATTTCAAACTCTTTTCTAATAGGTCCAAATGAAACAAATCCTGGACTTGTATGATACTTTTTAAAGTATAAATATTTGACAAATTTATTTTGAATAGTTTCCAAAATGTGTTTTAAATTTTGTTGTGTAGGGTCCCATACAGTGGATGCATATTCTAATTTACTACGAACGAGAGCAAAAAATACATTTTTAATCGAGTGTGTGTCTGTAAAGTCCCTAGTCGTGCGTTTCAAAAAACCTAACAATTTGTTAGCTTCTTTGGTAATGTCATGGATATGCTCGTCAAATTTGAAATTATTTTGAAAAACTATTCCCAAGTCGGTCATTTTTGACACTCTTTCTAGTGTTGATCCTTGCATTGTGTAGATAAAATTTTGAGGATTACGAATGTTACTGAATGTAATAATCTTGCATTTGGAAAGATTAAAATGTAATTTATTTTCAAATGACCAATCCGAAATTGAGTCTAAGTCATTTTTAAGATAGTCATCTAGGGTGGATATTTTCTTAAAAACTTTGAGATCATCTGCATACATTAGGCAGTCTGATGTAATACGTAGAGGAAGGTCATTAACAAATATTAAGAAAAGTAGAGGGCCCAAATTGGAGCCCTGAGGGACCCCAGAGCCTGCGAGGATTGTATGAGATACTTCACCACCAAACATTACGTATTGATACCTTAGTTTTAGATAAGACATAAAGAAATTTATTAGATGATCGCTAAGACTATAACATTTCAGTTTAGCTAGAAGAATATTGTGATTTACCTTATCGAAGGCTTTCTTAAAATCAGTATAAATACAATCTACTTGCTCACGAGAATTGACACATTTTGATATTTTATCACTGAAAGTTAATAAATTTGTATCTACAGATTTTTTACGACAAAATCCGTGTTGTTCGGTTGATATGTATTTTTGAAAGTAAGCATACAGTTTATCATATATTACAAATTCAAACAGTTTCGCCGTACAATTTAATATGGCTATGGGACGATAATTATCTATTTTATTTTTATCCCCTTTTTTAAAAATTGGTGTTAATCTCGTTCTTTTAAATTCACTAGGAAATATGGATGTTTTAAGCGACTTATTAAAAATTACCAGCAAAGGGTATATTAAATAATCTTTACAAGCTTTTAGGATATAACTAGGAATATTATCAGGACCCGCTGTCTTTTTCGGTTTTAACTTTCGAAATGCCGCTAATCATGAACTATATGTATATAAAAAATGAAAAACAACTTCATTATAAAACGCATAGTGTTTTTTCTCGTAATACACACATTAATATTTTTTAGGGAAACAAGAAATGACTAGGATTCGATAGACATTTAGTTTGGAGAACCAGAAAAATAAAGGATTTTTGTTCAGAAAACTATTTTTTATAGAGAAGTAAGTGCCTAAAAGTATCCAAATGAATTGGAAATTAGTAATTTTTTCACTGACAAATTTGAAATATTTTATAAATCGAATAAATATATTTGAATAAGTATATCAAATAAATATAAACATAACCTCTTTTATTTAACCAATATTCTGTCATCTGAACCTTTTCATTTTGCTTTCACATCATTGTTAAATTCACTTTAAACCATTATTTTTGTTTATCATTAAAATTTTCATATAAACTTCTTTTGGAGAAGTAGGTTTAGCAAACTGTGTCTTCTTGTACAGGTTCCATCCAGCCTGTACTATTTTCACCATTATTGGGTTAGAAGTTATTTAAATGTTCCACAAATCTGTTTGCTTTTTTCGAATTATTTCGGATCCAGTTTCCTTCTTTGTTTCTCGTATAATAAGCCTTTTTAAAGGGATTTCTGTAATTAAAATTTCATCAGAGACTATCCTGGCAAGGGTAGAGATGTAAATCAACCTTGAGAGGAAAATTGGTGCCTATAAATCAAATCCTGACTAATAGACACTGTTTATTCTATTGTTAGAAAACGGAGACAAGCAGCTTCTTTCTGTATGTACAATAACGCTTTTTGTTCATTTCGGAAATTAATTTCATGCTCTGTTGATGATAACTAATTGTGTAACTTTAGAGGTAAGAAAAAATCGACCCCGAAACTATTCACTTATTGAAGGCTTGAAAGTAATAACGTCTTTGTAACGAGATGTGTGGAGCGGCATTGTTTAATGTTTGTTTTTTATTTAAAATTCTTTGACTATAATTACTTTTTGTATTATAACATCGCACTTTTGGCTATTTCTTTTTATTTACAAATATAATATAAAAAATAAAACACAACATAAGATCTATATTTATTAATCAACGATGATCAATCAAAAATCACTAGACAAATATCACTTACATCGTACCAAAAGGATACAAAAAAAAAAAACAACTTTTATACGTTATGATGAACAAATAACATGTTTTGTTTATTGTATAATTATGTTTTATATGAATTTAACTAAATATAACATGAAAATACAAGCATTCATACAGTATCTCTTAAAAGTCAACTTAAAATCCTTAAAAAAGAGTATTTCACAAATACTTTGTATAAGTTGACATATTTAAAACAAAACTTTTAATCGACACCGTATATTTTAATAAAAAAAAATTAACATTTACAACGCAGATGTTGCCCGAATCACATGACAAAACGTTTTTTTTTACAACGCAACATATCAAACACTAACAAATTAAAAACTAACTAAAACAACGAGTAAATATTCTACATTTTCATATTGGTGCAGAAACGATTCAATATGAATGAAATATTAAGTGAAATTAAAAAAAAAATAATTTACTGATATAATACATAAAAAATAGTTTAACGCTAGGCTCAGTATTTGAACAAGTAAGATTTGTTGAAAATATTTGTGGAATATTTACTCTCAGCTACAAATAACCGTTCTAATTTCAAATTTGCCACGTTTTATTTCTTAAAAGAGATATGTAATGTTTATCTGTACAGGGGACAATCTGAGTATAGCATAAACAGAAGTTGGAAAGGCTTTTGTCAGTTCTCCCACTTTATACACATAAATTGACAGGTTCGCGGCGGATCTAACCGAAGTGGACGCGATACATTGGCGTACAAAATTATTTTATTGATGTTAATAACGATTTTGAGTAAATAGCAGTGGCGGATTGTCTAAGGAGGCAACGAAAGCTAAGTAGGGTTGCCACCTTTTTGAAAAGTGAATAAAGGACTACTATATACAAAAGTCCTGATCCTTCAACTGAACTTAAAAAAAAGGTCCTCAGCTTATATATTTTTTACAAACCATGTTCCTTCCAAAGATATTTGCTGTAAAAAAAGACATTTGACGTAAAAAGGACATTTTAAGCTTTAAGGATATTTTGCTTCAAAAAAGGACAGGTGACAACCCTAGGGCTAAGCTAACATTATTTGAAATAATTATTAGCCCACTTATTTCTAATAAACCTCTGAAATAATCTCGATTTTCAAAAGTAACTTTAAAAGTAACTATTATTTTACTGAATTCCCGATATTACTGTACATAATTTTGGTTTGACAAAAGTGCAGGAGAGTACCCTCCAACACAAATCTTATGTTTTGGCCAAAACAACGTTTTCTGATCTTATGCGAAATAATGGAAATTTGGCAACTCCCACAGGAGACAAATTTAGCAAGATGGGTACCTTGCGTTCTTTTGTCACCAGGTCATCGTCTCATAGATATTTCACAGGTATTTCATATACACCATTCCTTTCCGCCTCCTCCTCCTCCTCCTCCCCCGTTTATCATTAATAAGAACAAAACGAATGAGTGTAGTGGGTAATTTACATAGAGGTTGAGGTTGGGTTTTGTGTTTTGTTTTCGTATTTCCAAAAATTAGTGTCAATTATTTTAAATTTGATAGTGATTTAATAGAACATTTTTTAATAAATTCATTTTTGACACAAGTCCTCCTTGGTGCTTGGTATTTCACAGCCATACTGAGTCGTTTCTCTCAAAATGTGTATCTGTGGCACGCCTATCGATTCTAGCTTTTGCTTTATCGGTGTTGGCTTTCAGTCGTTCCCGAGAGAATCCATAGACCTTTGTCCTGCCATCGCATATATCACATTTTTTACACCAATCCACTACATCCCGTCGACAATTGACCCAATAAAATCTTTCCAGAACTCGTGCTACTGTTTTTTTTAGTACCAAAATGTCCTCCCGAACGGCTGCTATGAAGCTTCTCCCACACATTTCTGACAGTACCACTTGGCAGGCTACATGTACTCCATCAGGACTCTCTCACTTCCGGTGCAATAGGTCATCGTGAAGATACAGGGAATCCCACTGAGTCCAGTACCCTTTAATAGCTCCACTGTATTTGACTATCTCTTGCCAAATAAGTGTGATTTTATTTTTGAGCCATTCTCGGACAACCTTCAAGTCATTCTCTTTCTTCTGTCCCTTTCTCAGGCTTTCAAGAGTAATTTCTTCGTCGCCCTCTGGCTTGATAGTGGTTGTCCGAAAAGTAACTTCATCAACCGATTCCTCTTGTTTTCCGAGCCCTTTACTGTACCGACGTTTTCGTTCTAAACAGGGTCGCCTGGAGAGAATGTCTGCGTTTCTGTGGATACGGCCTCTACGATGCTCTACTTCCTGGTTATTACTAGAAAGCCGTTTAGGTGTGGGTGATCGGCTTCTCCGGGACGCATAACTGCTGTAATTATTTCTTGTTGGACTTCGTGGCGGTCTTTGGAAAATTGATCTATGTGACTTTCTGGCCTCATTCCATGATTCCTAATTTATAGAAAGAACCCTGCTTCTGCAGGTCCTTTGAAGGTGCCCGATTCTTCCGCAATTAAAGCATCTTCTGCTCCCATTTTGGCTGTTTCGTTGCATATTTTGCAAGATATTTAAGATTTGTGAAAGGGTAGGTTGGGTGATAGTATTGGGGCTGCAGTCAGTTTCTCCTTCAGCGTCTTGTGATGTTGTAGTCCATCAATGAATGCCTGTATTTGTTCTTGGACATTTTCTGTCGCCTCTGGATAGGCCAGGTGAATCAATCTTCTTATGTCGGTCTCGAAGTCTTGTAGACTCTCATTATGTTTCTGACTACGAATCTTTATCTGGCTCTGGAATACCCGTTTCAAATGGAGCTGGCCATATCTTGTCTCCAACGCTTGGTCGATATATAAATTACTGGGTTTTTCTTGGGGAAGTAACTGTAAAACGGTTGCTGCCTATCATCGCAGCGACACTATCAATGAAGCCGCCATCTCTTTTTCGGTCCAGCCATTGGTTCTAGCTGCAGCTTCAAATTGTAGGCGATATGGTTTCCATGTTGTCTGACCGTTAAACAATGATCTTGCTAGTAGGGATTTGTGAAACTGGGTTTTGAATATGGCTTGGTTCGATTACAGATGAAAACGAGGTAGTGTTTTTAGTTTCTCTGTTGCTTATCGAAGCTAGGCTACGAATTCTACTTTCTAACTCAACTAGTTTAGTTCTAATTTGTCTTTCGAACTCTACTCTAGCTTTTTCCTGTTGTTTTAAATTCTCTCGTTGTTGTTCAAAATTAGTTTCTAAATGCTCTTGCTGCTGTTCTAAATAAGCTTCTAAATGATCCTGTTGTTGCTCTAAAAGATCTACTCTAATTTTAAGCTGACCAACCTCTTGCTTGAAGGTTTCCTGGATTTGTAGCAAAGCATTCATAATTTCTACCTCAGCTTTCCTACGCCTCTCTTCCTTCTCTTTGTCTTCATCCTAACTGCGCATTTTTTTCCCTCTTTTTCCTTCCTACGTCTTTCTTTTTCCTTCTCTTCTTCCTTCCTACGCCTTTTCTTTTCCTTCTCTTCTTTCTTCCTACGCCTTTTTTTCCTCTTCGTCCTTCCTGCGCCTTTTTCCCTCTTTTTCCTTCCTACGCCTTTCCTTTTCCTTTTCTTCTTCCTTCCTACGCCTTTCCTTTTCTTCTTCCTTCCTACGTCTTTCCTTTTCTTTCTCTCCTTCCTTCCTTCCTATGCCTTTCCTTTCTCTCCTTCCTTCCTTCCTATGCCTTTCCTTTTCCTCCTCACGCCTTACCTTTTCCTCCTTTTCTTCTTCTCGTATTTTTTTCTCGTCTTCCATCTTCAAAAACCATGCTGGTGGGCCTGAAGTATCCATATCTGTTTCGTGTGCAGTGGATCTAGTATTTATCATGAGTATAATGCTTGGGTATTTTTTATTTTATATGTCCCACTGCTGTCACCAATGTTACAATATTATCAAAAATATACGTGTATGGCTGGATATGAGGTAAGAAATAAGTTAGTTTGTTGGTATTGTTTATTATGTTCGACTGATAAGCTGTCTTGTTGGGGACAATTAGCGTATAATGACTTAATACATGCGATTGTCCGGTTCCGCCGGTAACAATTACAATTACTTATTCCATGAAACGACACTGGCAGGTTAACAGTACTGGGAAATTTTCGAAGCCGTTCGACGTAGTTTGATGTTTACCCCTTCTTTACCTACCAAAAACCTTTCCAACTTTTGCTCCTGCTAAAATATTACGGTACCCTTACACCGATTACAATGTTTCTAG